GTAGTAGTAGTAGTAGTAGTAGTAGTAGTAGTAGTAGTAGTAGTAGTAGTAGTAGTAGTAGTAGTAGTAGTAGTAGTAGTAGTAGTAGTAGTAGTAATAGCAGAAGTAGTAGTAGTAGTAGTAGTTGTAGTAGTTGTAGTAGTAGTAGTAGTAGTAGTAGTAGTAGTAGTAGTAGTAGTAGTAGTAGTAGTAATAGTATTTAATACATATTATTTGGGGGGCTCCAGTGCCCTAAGGTTAAAGTATTCGCCTCACATTCAAAGGTCCCTGGTTCGAATCCGGAAAAATTTTCTTCTCTAAAATCGTCTATTTTCACCTCCTTTCCTGCTCACTACGTTGTTCTCCTTTCGTCTCCACTTTCTGCCCCCACCCCCTCACCTCTTTTGTCCCCTACTCTTGGCTCCTAACTCTTCTGCAGCCTTTCTGCTGTTTCTCCTTGGCTCCTTCTTACTGCTGTCTTTCATCCACACCCCTGGTCTTCTGGAAAGAAAGATCTACACCTAGCCTTCTCGGACAAGGGAGAAAAATTTCAGCGGTCCCCGTATGCAGGTTGTGCACGTTAAGGATCCCTTAGCGGTCTAAAATCGATAAGAGTAGGCTTCGGCCGCCACGCGGGCAAAATTCAAAATTTTCTACCAACTGAAAATGTTTAATGTGTCCCGCGCACTCATAATATGACCTTACGTAGTTGCAAACGCCATAAAACACTTACAAAAACAAACCAAAAGAAAACCAAATACATATTATTTCTCTTCCCATCTATTTCTGGCCATTCTGCGGTTGCAACACATCTTAAACGTCACTCATTACAGATTGGAAAAAGCCCTGCCTGCCGCGTCCTCACCGCCGATCTTCCTGGCAGGACCAGTCTTCTTATTTGCTCTATCCGTTTGTTCTCCTGACTAAAGCAACCGCGCTTATCTCCTTCGGGAACGCTGTTGGTTTAACGATAATAATATTTTTAGAAGACTTGATCAGAGAACTATGGGGTTGGTTTTTTTTCTTTAAATCAATACATCGATAGCTGTATAATTAGTGTTAGAATCCGGTGCATTTGTTGGGTTTGTCGGTCTGTTTTGTTTTTGTTTTTTTTGGGGGGGGGGTTTAATTTTACTTTTAATTTTCTTACTGCTTGATTTTTTAAATATTATTCTTTATTGGTTGTTTTTTTAAAGTTTTACTTCTGTTCTAGATCGAGAATCTTTCTCTGCTCAAATGGGTTTCATTGTCCACGGTAGAAGCCACACGTCGTCTTAATTCTCATTTCTTCAAATTCTTTTTCAGAAATAATATACTACTCTGCACATGTATTGGATACATGACTTAAAAGGCTCACTGGGAACAAGGAGATAACACAGTCGAACCTGCTCTAACGGCCACCTGCATAAGACAACCACGTGAGAAAACGGCTGTTTCCCATCCGTCACCCTTGTGTTCTTTTCTTTTTACATTATACGGACACTGTGTAAGACGACAATCAGTCTAAGCTGGTCACTTTTCTCCACGATCTATGTACGTAGCCGTCTTGTAACATTTTGACTGTACATTCGACACGAAGACAAGAGGCGCCCTCTCTCGACATAAACCTTTTTATTACCCTTTCCTCTTCGACAGCTTGAGACAGTTGAGAATCGGTAAGGCGATCAATGGCGGACATGAACTACTGATATTGGGTCGGAAAGGGGGGGGGGGGGTGGTGGTAGATCGAGAAAAAGAGGCCGGGTGGGATGGTATGTTGACATTTTTTCTTTGGGGAAAGAAGTTACTGGGGATTTAGTTTTTTAGTAAGAGTTTTCCGGAACTTGCACAAAAATTTGGTCATATAAGTGCCGAAGATTTTAGGTGTTACAAGAGAGAGACAAACACAAAAAAGAAAGACGAGGGATAAGGGATATCGATGTTTGATAGGAAAGAAGGAGAAAAACTACACCAGAGCATCCTCCATCCATTCACGGGATTGCTAGAGAGTCATAATATACAAAGAAAAGAAAGAAAGAGAAAGGGACGATAAATGTTCAGTAGGAAAAAAGGAGTAAACCACACCAGAACACCCGCCAACAAACCACAGACCGACAGGATTGAGGGAGAAAAAGTAAAGAAATTTGACCTAATTTATATTCACATATTCACTTTTGCACTTCTTTCGGGCACATTTTCTTCCATAGCCTACGATCAGTGCCATACATAAACAAACAAATATACAATCGTATTAACATCAACAACAGTTGTAATTTGGGAGTCAATTTCCCAAAGTTTTAACGTGTGAACATGAAACCAGAAGCAAAATGAAAACGAAAGAAAAAAAGAAAAATTTACACGTACTAACGTTTTCAAAATCCACAGATTTCGAATGCAATGTGCCCGAATAAAGACAGAAGAAACATTGACAAGAACATAAAATCATTTTAACCCAAATGCAATGTAATTATCTAAAATAGGAAAAGAAAAAAAGGAGGTGCTGCAACAGTAACGAATAGAACGGCAAGCTAGCACAAACAATAACAATCCCTATAGAAGAACTGTAATTGTAGATGATGTAGGTCCTCATCGACACACATTCGATTTTTTAAGAGGCTGCTCTAATTTTGCCGTAAAGGGCCACGCAGACTGAGAGAGGGGTACAACGTACTATCCGACAGACGCAGATTCTGTGCTACATTATTTTTTAAACCTCCGCACGCGGGAATGGAACCCATGTCTTCTGTGAGCGATGGTGAAGCGTCTCACTGCTTCATAACAGACATCAGTCAAAAACGACGTTAACAAGGGTGGTAGAAAACAAAGAAAATATGAATTTGACTCTCAACCGCATTCATATTAAATTTGTCGTTTTGGTTAATTATCAAACTACATTGCTGACTTACTTGTAGACCAGTTGGGAGGATGCTGGTGCTATGCACACAAAAGGTTTGGCGTCACTACACAACAGAACTCGCTGGCCCTCTGTAAGTTTGTTCCATAGGGACTTCACACTATACTATCACAATAAAATCTCTCCGTGCCACATTCTCTCGGGTGTTCATTACCTCTCTGTGTGTGTGCCACAGTCCGTCGACAAAATCTTCGCGCTCACATAAAACTGGGGCGACCCTCCCTATCGAACGCCAATCAGACCTGCTGTAAACTGAACCCGCACCAATCGTACCTGACTAAGTGCGCAGCAGAAAGTGGCGAGAGTTCTTCGACTCTCTTGGGCTTCGACTCACTGAATATCTTGGCTTGTTCGTGTTGGAAGCAGAAAGGTTGTGGAAAAGAGGGAAGGAATAGTTCAAAGGTTGAATGCAAACCGCATGCACGCACGCACGCATACTTTCCCTAGATAGCAGGTGTTGAAATACAAGTAATAATAATTGGGCCATTTAAGCAGAGGTGATGTTGATCATAACGTCTACGTTTCTTAATTAATGTCTTGCTTGCCAAACGTAAAATTGAGATGACTTCCAAGAAAGTGCTACGTTCTGTTTACCAAACTTTGGAGCTAGCTACACACTCAAAATATATTCTTATGAGACCTCTTCAGTCTAATCATTTTCTCAGATGTTCATGCTGCCATTAAGTTTCAACAATATTAATGTGTCTACCAGTCGTTCTTGCTTGCGTTCTTAGAAAATAGACTCAGGGTTCCGCTGTCGCCTTGCACTGTGTGCATTATCCTTGTTTACTCGGGTTACCACGCTTTTAGACGTCTTTTCTATTTCCAGTTCTGTAACGCTAGGTTCCTATTTAAGATTGAATAGAGTATACGGTGATTTTTTTCTTTTGGGAAACTTGGTCATACGGAACAGAAATCAAAAAGTTTGTTGCCATAAATCTCTCTCTCTCTCTCTCTCTCTCTCTCTCTCTCTCTCTCCCTCTCCCTCTCCCTCTCCCTCTCTTTCTCCCTCTCCCTCTCTTTCTCTCTCACCCTCTCTTTCTCTCTCTCCCTCTCTTTCTCTCTCTCTGTATGTGCGTCTCTGAGTGTCTCTGTCTCTCTCTGTTTCTCTCTGTCTCTCCCTCATCTCTCTCATCTCTCTCTGTCGCACTGTCTCTGTCTCTCTGTCTCAGTCTCTGTTTGTGTGTGTGTCTGTCAGTCTGTGTGTCTGTGTCTGTCTGTCTGTCTGTCTGTCTGTCTGTCTGTCTGTCTGTCTCTCTCTCTCTTTCTCTCTCTCTCTCTCTCTCTCTCTCTCTCTCCGTGTATTGGATAGTTTGTTTTCGTAAGTGACAACATGAGTCACTACCAGGACCACTTTTATCATTATATTCATTGGTTCAACTTACGTTAGATATTTATGAGGCGGGCTGCTTCAGTCTTGCCCGTCAGGCCAACCCTGTTTTTTTAATGTTAATGTTAATGTTATGTCGACACAATTTAGATTACTTAAGGGGTGGGCTTCGAACCAGCCTGTCATACTAGCAACAACAACAACAGCAACAACAACAACAAAAACAACAACAACAACAACAAAAACAACAACAACAAAAACAACAACAAAAACAACAACAACAACATCATCAGTAGCAATTGACAAAAACGACAACAACTACCAAAACCACAAAAATAATAATGACGACTACGACAGCAGCAATAAACACAACATAACTCGAACAACAGTAGTACCACACCCTGTACAGCTCTCCTCAAACACACGTGAACAAAACCTTACTGCATAATAACTAACCTACTCGCCCCAATAAAAAACCCTCCCTCGCGAACGAACCACCAACACCCACAAACCTTTTACTACTGCAAAGTACCCCCCGACCAATAAACATGTTCTAACAAACTCCTTGAGCAGTACGTCTACGAGATACAAACACCGCAGATGCCGAGAATGTAGAAGATCAAACTGCCGGCAGCCGAAGAGTCCCTTAAATCTGCCAGCCGTTCTGCATACTTATAGAAAGGTATGAATTGACAAGTAGATATTCACAGTAAGTCCGTTCCTTTTGTACGCCTGTACCTGACCGGGTGTTCTATCTACCCGGGTACCGTATCAGACTGCCCCTCTCTTGTGTGTTTATTCCATAAGGCGCTATGTGCCCGAAGGTTCCCTTTGTTTGCGGGACCAAAAATAAAAACCCCTCTTTTGTTCTGGCTTTCTGGCTCGTTCTCTTATACAATCTGTTCTTTTTATCGCTGTACTTTTGCTGGCTTCAAACTTATGCCACAAAGGAGGCATAGATGAATTGGTTTTTAAGTGAGCTTTGTTGTTTGATAATGAGATTCTCGCCCGCGTGCTTGGATTATAGACTGTTGGTTATTGTGAGGTCCTTGACTTTGTGTGTTTCTCTCTACTCTTTATTTCTGCATACATAACCGCAAAATTAATGCTAGTATGCGCGAATGGACACACACACACACACACACACACACACACACACACACACACACACATACACACACACTCACACACACACACACACACAACCACAAACTTAAACACACACGGGTTGTACTTGTAGCACTACTGTTGTTAGAATTATGCTGTTTCTGCTGCTGTTG